ATGAATAAATGCATATGTTTTGCATTAAAAGGAAAAAATTTAAAGAACCTACAGATAAATGTTTAGCAAAGGAGATTCAGGGAGATAGCTAGATGTAATATTAATTACATTATTATAAACCATCAATAAAAAGAATTATATAAATATATATATATATACATATACACACACACACACACAATGTATATATATATATATGATGAGAAGAGATAGGAATGTGGGTGGAATGCAAACAGGAACCACAGGGAGGAAGTATGGTAACTGTTGTTGCATAGAGTGGATTGTAAATATGGAGATACACATTAAACAAAACGTGTGATTTGCTGAATGTAAAGCTGATGATCTTGTCTATAAACCTTTACTCAATTCACATATACACACAAAAAAGATGGAAGGAATACACAGAATCACTGTACAAAAAGAATTAATCAATGTTCAATCAACTATTTCAATAGGCAGCATATGATCAAGAGCTAATGATACTGAAGGAAGAAGTCTAAGGTACACTGAAGGCACTGGTAAAGAACAAGGTTCTGAGAATTGATGGAATACAAATAGAAATCTTCCAAACAAACAGATGCAGACCTGCAGGCACTCGCTCAACGATGCCAAGAAATTTGGAAGACAGCTACCTGGCCAAGTGATTGGAAGAAGTTTACATTTGTGCCCATTCCAAAGAGAAGTGACCCAATTCACTGTGGATATCACTGCAAAATATCATTAATATCACATGTAAGTAAAATTTAGCTAAATATAATTCAAATCCGGCTGCATGAAAAGGAACTGATAGAAGTTTAAGCTGAATTCAGAAGAGGATGTGTAATAAGGAATGTCATTGCTGATGTCAAATGGATCTTGGGTGAAAACAGAAAATATACATGCTTTATTGACTATGGAAAGGCTTTTGACTGTGTGGATGGATCATGACAAGTTATGGAAAACACTTCGGAGAAGTACTATTTAAAACAATTATGCTCATGAGGAACCTATACAGAGACCAAGGGGCAACTGTTTGAACAGAAATAAGGGACATTGAATTGGTTAAAAACAGGCAAGATGTGTGCCAGGATTACATTCTTTCACCAAACTTATTATTAATTCTGTATGTTGAGTAAATAAGCTGAGAGGCTGGATTTTATGAAAAAGAACATGACATCAGGATTGGAAGAAGACTCATTAACAACCTGCAATATGAAGATGATACAACTTTGCTTGCTGAAAGCAAAGAAGATTTAAAAATACTTCTTGATGAAGATCAAAGATCACAGCCTTCGGTATGGATTGCCCCTCAATGGAAAGAAAACACAAATCATCACCATTAGACCACTAAATAACATCATAATAAATGGAGCAAAGACTGAAGTTGTCAAAGACTTCATTTTGCTTGGATCCACTACTAACACACATGGAAACAGCAGTCAAGAAGCCAAGTGACATATTGCATGAGGCAAATGGGCTGCACAGGACCACTTTAAAGTATTCAAGAGCAAAGATATCAATTTGAGGATTAATGTGAGCTTGACGCAAGTCAGCCTCATATACATGTTAAAACTGGGCAATGAATAAGACAGTAGAATAATTGATACATTTGAGTTACGGTGTTGGAGAAAAATATTAAGGATACCATGGACTTCCAGAAGGACAAACAGATATGTGTTAGAAGTACAATCAGAATGCACCTTGGAAGACAAAATGACCACACTTCGTGCCTCATACTTCAGACATATAATCTGGAGAGACCAGTTCCTGGGGAAGGACATCATCTTTGCTAATGTGGAGGGTCAGTGAAAAAGAGGGAGTACCCCAATGAGACAGATTGGCACAGTGACAGCAGCAATGGGCCCAAGTGTAATAACAATTGTTAAGTCTGGCACAGGATCAGGCAGTGTTTCGTTGTGTTGTGCATAGGGATGTTAGAGTAGGAACTGATGCGATGGTACCTGACATATTAACTGCAAAATTTAAAATTGATTTCTGAGTGTTGGTGAAGATATTGACCAAGGGATGCAAACGTACAGTACTGGTAGAAAGATATACGAACTTTGGATAAAAGTTGGTATTATCTAGTCAAGTTGAAAGTCCTGATGTGACACTGTACAATAAGCACTGGACTGGTAACTGCAAGGTCGGCAATTCAAACCAACCAGCCATTCTTGGTAACCCTATAAAGGGTTGCTATGAGTTGGAAGAGATTCAATGGCACACAATAACAATATTCAAATTGAAGAAGTGCTTGGTAGCCATGTTGGATAAATACTGGACTAGTAACCACAAGGCTGGCAGTTCAAACCTACCAGTCACTCCTCAGGGTAAAGATGAGGCTTTCCGCTCTAATAAAGATTTATAGCCTTGGAAATCCTACACAGCGTCACTATGAGTTGGAACCTACTTGATGGCACAAAACATCAACAGTCAAGTTGAAAATAAAAATACCTTTTGACCTAGCAATTTCACTGGCAGGTAAATACACCAGAGAGCCTTTGCACATGTACACCAAGAAATAAGAATAGAAATGCTCATACTAACATTGATTTTAATAGGAGAAAACTGAAAACAATTAAAAAATTCATCCACAGAAGAAAAAATTTGTTATATATTCACACAATTAAATTATTTATTATATAGTGACGAAAATGAATGGTCATACACCCATGACTGAAATTTAGAAAGATAATGATTAGGGGGAAAAAAGTAAAGTTCCAGAAACTAAGAATGTTACCATTTGCCTCATCAAAACAAACAAAACTAAACAATGTATTGCTTAGGGAGGCATAGATACGTGATGAAACTTTTTTTTCTTTAAATGTAAGGCTATGGCAGCAATAAAATTCAGCATAGTGGTTACCTAAGAAAGGTAGCAAGAATGGTATTGGAATGCAGCACACCAATAACTGCAAAAGTATCACCAGTGCTCCAGGGGTCTGCTAAATCTGCCCATTGCCTGTTTTTATAAATAAAGTTTTACTGGAACACAGTCATGTTGATTTCTTTACATATTATTATGACTGTTATCGAGCTACAATGAAAGAGTTGAGCAGCAGTACCAGAGACCATGTGGCTCTTAAGTCTAAATACTTATCTGGCATTTTAAAGAAAACAGTTGCTGGCTCTTGTATTAGCTGTCTTAGAATCACAGGTGTTCATTTTATTCTGTTTTATAATTCATTATAACGTAACTTTTCTCTACATATAAAATATTATATCATAAAGCACTTGAAAGAATAAAACTTTCCCTGAACTAGACATTTAATTAATCTGGAAATGCTCATGATATATATTGGGTTTTCTTATTATATTTGCTTAATTTAAACTTCTGAAAAATATAAACAAACATCTGTTTCTTATAGACACAGGAAAGCAGTTACAAACCAATAAAATGCACACCTGAAAAGGTTAACAAGTATATATTTAGTTTCTTGGTTTAATCTGACTGTTTGGCAGATATAATGTCCAGCACATCATTTTCCTTTCTGTTTATATGTATTACTATTTCAAGATCCTAGCCTAAAAACACACACATAACTAATAATTGCTATCCTTTGCAAAATGAAAATCATTCACTAACCATAGAAATTTGGCCTACTAATATATTTAAAAGACATACAAAATTAAATAGTTTACATAATATAAATCCAAATAGCTGATTCTTACTGAGTTAGAAAATCCACAGCACAAGGAAGTGGTGGAAGAAGATGCTGAATTACTTCCTCAGTAAGGAGTTCACCACAGTAGGAAACAAAGCTCTTGATAGCTGAAAAAGAGAACAGATGTTAACTACGAAAAGAGCATTCAATTATGGTCTATCATTCACAAATGCTAAAATAAATTAAGATGCTAAAGGCAGAATATTGTGGAAACTTTAGTATAAAAAATTTTAATGTTTTCTACCCTTAATAATACTTCTTTAAAATTCCCTGTATCACTTAAGTGGACTTCTGGTGTGGCCCTGCAGGTTAATGTGCTGGATTGCCAAATTGTTTTACACTGCAATGTCAGTGGTTCAGGCTTACCAGTTGCTTCTCTAAAACCCTATACAGGTTGGTATGGCTTGGCACTGACTCAACAGCACTTAACAGCAACAACATATTACTAAAAGAGGCCAATAAGCAAGTTAAAAATATTGCTTTCCTGTGCAGGGTCGCTATGAGTCGGAACCGACTCCACGGCACATAACAACAACAACAACTTAAGGAGCTCTGGTAGCGTAGTGGTTACGAATCGGGCTGCGAACCGCAAGGTCAGCAGTTCAAAACTTCCAGCTGTTCCACAGGAGAAAGATGAGGCTTTCTGCTCCTGTGAAGATTTACATCCTTGGATAACGCTGTACAGGGTCACTATGAGTCAGAAGCAACACCATGGCACATGACAACAACAACAACTACAAGGTTTTATTTAGCCCTAGAGCTCAGAAGTCCTGGTGTAGCACTGTTAAGATAAGCACTGGAGTGCAAGGCTGGTCTTAGTTCCACGGTTGACAGCTCAAATCCACCAGTCACTCCTCAGAAACTCTACTAAGGCTTCTATGAATCAGAACCGACTTGACAGCTCAGCAGTAGAAGAAATTAGTTTAGGCTCTTAGACTTAGTTTGTCAGTTGTACACCAGTTCTGTGGAATGAAGCCAACTTTCCAGTAAATATTAGATTTTTACAAGTTTTATCTAAAACACAGATATTTTCCCAAGAAGCTATTTCATATGCAGAATAAAACAAATATTCTGCAGTTACTTGAATTTCAAGGTCAATATCAAAATAAGTTTTTCTTTTTTAAGGATACTGAAAATGCCACGAATTTTTAAACACACAAAACCAAATTCAATGCAGTCAGGTCTTTCAAGGAATTTCCACTCTTTAGTTCACATTTTCATAGTGGAATATTATTATTATTATTTTTAATTAAATGGTTTTTTTTGGATTGAGTGAAAGTTTACAGGGCACATCATCAGCTTCACATTCAACCATTCATATAGCTTGTTTCATTCCACTGATTATTATCCCCTCCATATATCATCAGTTAACAGTGTTTCTCTCTATCCTCTTTAGCTTTTTTTTTTTTGGATGGGGGCGGGGGACTTGCCTTTTTGGAATTTACAGTCTCGGCTTTTAGGGAAGGGTTTTAATTTGTCTGTGGATATCCAGGGCTCATGTATGAGATTACTAACAAGCATTACTGAATAATCAGATGAGGGACAGTTTGCTATGTCTACTAGGTAGCTAAAGTCTGATCCTCAGAGCCTATGGTTTGGACGGTCAACAACGCTTGGGCCTACAGGGGCTTGGCCTCCTGACCGGGTCTGCATGGTCTGCATGTGATTCCTCCTTATTTATTGTTTGTTTAAGGTACGCTGCCTGTCTTAGGCGGTCAGTGCGAATTCCTCAGTCTTACCAGTCATTGAAACTCATTGCAGCATGGCAATGGCTCTGTCTTAAGTTGCCGAGGTTCCACATGATCCTTACCCATCTCTGGCCACACGTCCAGCATAAACAGCCGCCATCCGAGGAAGGCAGGGAGGGAGGAGATCGGCTGGGGACCCCATGCGCCAGACGTTGCCGGCCCTCCACCTGCTCTAAGGTGACCAAGCAGGATCACTATGCTGAGGTTCAATCAAGTTCTTAGGGGATGGAATATTATTTTGAATTAACAAACTCTGGTAGCATAGTGGTTATGAGTTGGACTGCTAATCTCACAGTCAGCATATCAGTTCAAAATTACCAGTGGTTCTGTGGGAGAAAGATGAGGCTTTCTTCTCTCAGGAAATTTACAGACTCGGAAACCCTATACAGGGTCACTATGAGTCGGAACCAAGTCTGCGGCACATAGCCACCATTACGTGTTGTAAAAGGATACAACTTTATTATAAAGAGTAGACAAAAACCACTTAACAAATGCTAATTAAATCAAACCCTACTATTTTTGGAGTCCTGGTGTGGTGCTGTGCAATAACGCACTGGCCCGCAGGGTCAGTCTGAACTGAAAGGTTGGCGGTTCAAACTCACCAGCAGCTCCTCGGACCCTATAGAGGGTTGCTATGGGTCAGAACTGACGCGACAGCACTTAACAACAATAACTATTTTTGTAAAGAGGGATGTCTACGTAAGAGAAAGCAATCTTAATATGTCACATACAGATTGGCCCTAATAAAACATGTATTATTCTAAGAATTAATACTTGAAATCTGAAATTGAATCAAACTAGTTTATTATCACAAACTAATCAATTATGTTTAGTTTCAAATATATGTCCCCCATATCCCACAACATATGAAATATGTTTTGTTGTTCAGTGCTGTCAAGTTATTTGTGGCTTATAACAAACCTAGATACAACAGAATGAAGCAATGCCAAGTCCTGTGATATACTTATAGTTATTGCTATGCTTGAGTCCATTGTTGCAGCCCATTATGTTGCAGGTCTTCCTCTTTATCACTGCCTCTCTTCCTACCACATGCCCAAATTACGTGAGCATTCTGTCTGTACTCTTCCAAGAAAGATCTATCCAGGCTCTGGCACTTCATGGAAAATTCAGTATTCTTCAATAACACCATAATTGAAAGGCATCAATTCTTCTCTAGTGTGAGTGAATAAATTGTCCCGCTTTTATATGAATATGAGGTAACTGGAAATACCATATCTTGTGTCATGTCTTACTGCTCAAGCTGACATCTTTGCTTTTTAATATTTTAAGGATGTCAATTGCAGAGTGCCCAATTCAACATATCATTTAACTTTTCGTTTGCTGCATCTTTGGGGCACTGATTATGGACCCAAATAAAATGAAATACTTAATGTCAATCTTTTTTCATTTGTCATAATGTTGCTTATTGGTTCAGTTGTAAGGAATTGTGTTGTATGTTGAAGTGTTATCTTTACTGAAGATCTTCATTAGTAAGTGCTTGAAATCCTCTTTCAGCAAGCAAGGTTGTATCATACTGTTAATAGGATGCCCTCCAACCTGGATGTCTTATTATTCTTTTTATAGTTTAGCTTCTCAGATTATTTGCTCATATACATTAAGTAAGTATGGTGAAATGATACAACCCTGGTGCATTACTTTACTGATTTTAAATCATCAAATGTTCTATTCGAATGACCGTCTCTTGGTTTTGTGCACAGGTTTCTCATGAGCACAATTACATGTTCTGGCATTCCCATTCTTTGTAATGCCATCCATAATGTGTTAGGATATACACATTCAAATGCCTTTGCATAGTCAATAAAGCACAGGTAAACACCTTTATGGTACTCTCTGATTTTAGCCAAGATCCATGTGCTATCAACAGTGATATCCTTTGTTTTACATCCTCTTCTGAATCTGGCTTAATTTCTGGCATTTCCCTGTCAACATACTACTGCAACTGGTTTTGAGTTATCGTCAGTCAATTTTTACTTACATGTGATATTAATGACTGTTTGATAAATTACCCATTCCACTGAGCCACCTTTCCTTAGAATGGGCACCAATATAGATCTCTTCCAGTTGGTTGGCTGTGCAGCTTTTCTTGTCATAGACAAGAGAATGCTTCCAGTATTGCATCTCTTTGTTCAAACATCTCAACTTGTTAATTCCTGGGGTCTTTTTTTTTTTTGCCAATACCTTCAGTATACACTAGATTTCTTCTTTCAAATAACTTTGGTTCTTGATTATATGCTATCTCCTAGACGTAATAATTGTTGACCATTTATTTTTGGTACATTGACTCTGTACATTTCCCTTCCATATTATTTTGATTCTTGATGTGTCATTCAATATTTCCCCCACAGAATCCTTCACTATTGCTGCTTGAAACATGAATCTTTTACTTCCGTTCTTTCAGCTTGATAAATGCCAACTGTGTTCTTTCTTTTTGGTTTCCAAACCCCAGGCCTCTGCATTTTTCATATTTTATCTTCTCAAGCTGCCTTCTGAAATCTATTCAGCTTTTTTACTTCACCATTTCTTCCATTTGCTTTAATTACTTTATTCTCAAGAACAAGTTTCAGTCTCTTATGTTATCATTTTGGTCTTTTCTTTCTTTCTTATCCGTTTAATGACGTTTTACCTTTTGGCATTCATGAGTAAACTCTCCTTAAACTGGTCTCTAAATTTAGGTGGAGTATAATCAAGGTAGTACTTTACTTTTGTGGACTTGGTTTAATTTTCTTCGTATTTGACTTGAACCTGCATATGGTCTGCTTTGCAGTCAACCCCTGGCCTTATTCTGGCAGATGTTACTGAGCTTATTTATCATCTTTTTCCAGAGTAGTTGATTAATTTTTGTATCTTCCATCCAATGAGTTTCATGTGTGAAGCTGCATTACTAATTTATTTCCAACTTTTGTATTCCAATCACTAGTAATTATCAATGCACCTTGATTGTATATTTGATCATTTTAAGTCTGCAAAAGTTGGCAAAAATCTTTAGTATCTTTATGTTTGTTATTAGCAGTTGGTGTGTAAATTTGAGTATAAGTCATTATTAACTAGATATTATACTATCACTGATGATGTTGTACTTTAGTATGTTGTCGTTATTAAGTGCTGTCAAGTCAGTTTAGACTCATAGTGACCCTGGGTAGGGTTTTCAAGAAGTGGCTAGTGGGTCTGAACTGCTGACCTTGCAGTTAGCAGACTAATGCTTACTGCATTCTGAAGGATTACAGAACCAAACCAGGACTCCAAAGTTCATTATAGAACTTGAATTGTTCTTTCTGATAATAAGTGTGATGTTATTCCTATCCAATTTGTCATTCCTGGCACAACAGACCATCTTACTGTCCAACTCAAAAGGCAATGCCAGTTTATTTAAGCTTACAATGCCTAGGATATTGGTCTTTTTGAATTGTTTCATTTTTGAGGACTTGCGGGTTTTCTAGATTTATACTGTGTACATCCCACATTCAATTATCATTAGATGTTTGCAGTTGTTTCTTCTCATTCTGAATTGTACATCAGCAAAAGGTCTTAAAAACATTAGTCCATCCAGATCATTAATGTTGATTCTACACACTGATGAGGCAGCTCTGCTCTAGTCATATTTGGGGTCCCTTCCAAGCTGACACGCTTATCTTCTAGTACCGTATCAGACAATGTTCCACTGCTATTTGTATGGTTTTCAAAGATCAGTATTTTCCAAAATAGATTTCCAGGTCTTCCTTTCTAGTCTGTTTTAGTCTGGAAGCTCTGCTGAAAGCTTTCCACTGTGGGTGACCCTGTTGGCATTGACAATATCAGTGGCATAGCTTCTAGCATCACAGCAACATGCAGGCCACAACAAATTGGTAAACAAGTGGTGGAAATGAAACAGAAGAATGTATAAAGTCAAAGGTTGGAGAAAAGACAAATAAAGGAAAGGAGAGAAATGACTAAACTCAACCTACCACATAATGCACCAGCTCGTCCTTCCAAGGTTACCTGCCATGTAAATGAATCTCCTCTGCTCTTCTCTGTTTCTAAATCTTTAGGAGATACTGGAAAGACACATTTCCACAACAGCAGAACCCGAGCAAGGTGATGACTGACAACTGCAGGACCTGTAATTCATTCAGTTTGTCACTTGTAAAAGAACAAAGTGGTTCCTCTTTGAAACTTTATCATTAAGCAGGTACTTGTCATGATGAGTCGGAACTGATGCAATGGTAATGGGTTTTGCTTGGTTTGTTTTTGTCTCTTGAAATAAACATATTTCCACCCTCTACTGAACTACATTTCTGCTGTGCATAGGGTCGCTATGAGTCGGTACAAACTCGATGGCACCTAACTGAACTACATTATCCAGTTTTTTAGTCTTATAGTTCCAAAAGAATCTACTATTGAATGACTTACTATCTGAAGGCAATGTAGTACAGAGAAAAAACAAACTAACAGAAGGCCTTGGCTCTTGTGCCACTTCTTCCAATTCTCCTGTAACCCGTATGAGCCTCACCTTCTTTTAACTAAAACCAATGATAGTACCGTACCTCCTGTATGTACTAATGTCTCCAAGGGGTTGTGAAATCCATGACAGAATGCAATTTAAAAGTCTCTGAGAAACTGTAATGTACCACATAACTTGTACAAGGTACACATTTCTGATCTGAAGGATAATGTTTATTTTTGATAAGAACAAATTGCAGGTCAAAAATCAAGTGTAATAAATTTGAGTAAATACTTTTTTTCTTTGCAAAGACTTTTAAGTAACATGTATGAATCGAGGATTAGTCCATAAACTGAGTAACCAAAGGCATTATACAACAGCAGTTATCAATTAAAAAAAAAAAAAAAGTATAAAATCCAAGCCCACCATTTTTAATCCCTAAGTAATTTTCTCTAAAATTCTGAGACTATCTTAAAATTCCCCTACAAGCACTTTTGTTAGTTCTGCCACCTATAGGTCTTTCTTCTGTAGTACAGCAACACTACATAGTACAGCAGTGGGCTTTCATGGAAGAATGCAGAGGTTATCATTTTGGCTCCACCACTTACTAGTTGTGTACCTTGGATAGTTTTGTGCCTCAATTTCTTCATCTGTAAATGTAGATAACAATAGTACCTACCTCAGAGGACTTGGTCATTCTTTTTTTTTTTTCTTCATGTGAACTAAAATTGACTGTTGACTTCAGGGCATTGTGGGATTTTCATATTTTTATTTAGTTGATGACTATCTGTGCCTATGTTCTTAGGCTCGCATCAACTGTCTCCTGTGGGTGCAGTTTGCAATGCCCTTTAGTTGTTCATACAACACAGTTTAGGGTGGGTTTAATTGGTGTAGGTTGCTGTCTATCATTGGTGAAGTGGTATGCTGTTGTTGTTAAGTGCCATAGAGTCGGTTCTGACCCATAGCAACCCTGTCTATATAGGGTTTCTGAAGAGTGCTGGTGAGCTTGACGTGCCGACGTTGCATTTCAAATAGACTCTGCAGTCCAGCACATTAACCTACAGTGCAACACCAGGTGAAGTAGTATAGAAGCTGTTATTGGCTATTGCCCAGTTGGTTTTTATGGGCACAATTGCTGTCTACTTCTGAGTGGGAAAGAGGAGTAACCTTCCATCCCACATACAAGAAACAAAACAGAATAAACAAGCAAGCAACGAACAATGAAAAGAGAAAACGATAAAGAGAAAAGAGAAATAAAAACAGGCAGCATCCAGAAAATAATAACATAATAATTATAAAGACAGAAGATGAACAGGAAAATAGAGCTATAAAAGAGAAAAATAAAAGAAAATAAAAGGGGAGAACAAACAAGATGGCAGATTAGGTAGAAGTGCAGTGAGGAGCTCCGCCAGCAACAACACAGAATACTGGACCAAGCAGGCTCAGGGGATGGTGCCAGAACTCTGAACCACATACAAAGGAATATTTAGAAGCTTGAAAGGCTTATACTTAGGGGAATCTGTAGCAGAAGCAAGAAACCCAATGTTTTCTAATCCAAGACACTCAGCTGATCCTTGAGCCACCATCTTGGGCGAGACTAAGCAGGGGAAGGATCAGAGCAGCCACGGACGCCTGTTAGAACCACAGACATAAAGGTGTGGACACTCTTTTTTTGTGTGTCTGTTCATTGGTCTCTTGCTGGATGCGTAACCCTATTCAGGTGACCAGAAGGGGTGACTGACTGAGTGCACAACCCACACCCACCCCTGGAGGGTTCTACTATGCAGGCAAACAGATCTCCTCAAAATTTAAAGTGACAGTTATCACTTAAAACCAAATGGCAGTGCAAAACGGCCACAGCCGGCCCTGAACTGTTTATCACTAGGAAAAAGGCCTGAACGGGGATTGTGAAGCAGGACAGGCAGACTAAAAAAGAAATAGGCTGAAAATTAAATCCTGAGTTATGTCACAACGACCAACAGTGACATCCTGAAATTTCTCAGGAAGAAGAGTGAAAAGGGAGGCCCATCTCCTGATCACATCTACCTGGAGCCAATCCAAAAGCATGAAAAATACCAATATACACACCCATCTAAGTATTAAGGCCACAGATAACTCCTGAATATGCCAAAAAAACAGAAACAGAAGACCATATCAGCACATGTCCAGAAATGCGATAAAGTGACTGAGACAAATGAGCAGGAGGTAGATCTACACTCCATACTGGAAGATGGGCAGGCTTTGGTAATGCCTGCGAAGGAATTTAGAAAACTGATTATAAAATGTATCAAAACACTACAATGGAGTTGAGAAAAATAAGGACCAAGTCAGAAAAGCGCTACAGAAACAATCAAATAAAATAGATACAGCGTTGGAAACAATTCAAAACCTAAAGAAAGAGGTCAAAACGATAATAGAATATCAGAAATGGACAATACACTGAAAGGGCAAAGGAGTAGAATTGAAGATATAGAAGCCAGAACTAGTGAGCTAGAAGACAATTCACTCAACACTACTAAGATAGAAAAGCAAGCACAAAAAAGGATAAAAAAATCTGAAGAAGGCCTAAGATTCATGTTGGACAACATGAAGAGGAATAACTTAAGAATTATCAGTATTCCAGAAAAGGAAGACTCACGCAAGTCCACAGGGGAGACAGTTGAAGAGCTGCTGGAAGAAAATTTTCATAACATCCTGAAAAGTGAAAAGATAAGCATTCAAGATAAGATCAAGGAACTCCTGGAAAGTTAGACCCTAAAAGAAAATCACTACAACAAATTCAAATATAAGGACAGAATCCTGAAAGCAGCTAGGGAAAAGAGAAGTGTAACATACAAAGGCAAGCAAATCAGATTAAGCTTGGGTCTCTCAACAGAAACCATGCAGGCAAGAAGCAAATGGGGAGACATATATAAAACCCTGAAAGGAAAAAACCTGCCACCCAAGAATCCTCTACCCAGCAAAGCTGTCAATCAAATATGCTGGTGTAATCAAAACATTTCAGAAAAAACAGAAGCTAAGGAAGGGATTTTGCCACAGCCAACCCTGCAATGAAAAACATCCTAAAGGAAGTTGTGTGGACTAAGATTCAACAAGAACAGACAACAACCAGAGAATGACGTATGTGACAGCATCACCCTAAACTCAATCGACAAATGGAAGAGTCAAGAACAGAATAAAAATTATAAGAACAGAGGATCTGGAAGTTCAGTCTAGGATCAAAACAATTACAATATGAAAGAAGGTAAACACAGAGAAACAGAGATCCAGGTGGTGAGAGGGTCAAGTAGATAGCAGGATAAAATAGACTGTCTTAAATGGAGGGAAGAATTAATGGACTACAACAAGGAGTCCTGGTGTGGCTCTGTGGGTTAATGCACCAGACTGCAAAGCCATTTGAACTGCAAGGTTGGTGGTTCAAGCTCATCAGCTGCTCCTCAGAAACCCTATACAGGGTCGCTAGGGTCGGAATTGACTCTATGGCACTTAACGACAACAACAAGGTAACCACAACAGTGGGGTTGGGGTGGGAGGTTTAGTTCGGGTGTTGGGGAGGGCAATATAAGAAGGGGGAGGAAGCAGAGAACAAGATAGGTAGGGGAACACTGAGATAGATTTGCATGGCCTAAATGGGACAGAGGTAAATAGTGATGCATGCTCAACCTTGGAACAACAAGGGCTCTGTGATACATGGATCTAGGCATAGTTTGAGGAGGGGAAATAATACTAAAATGCTTGACTGTCTTATGAATATTGGTTTCCCTTGCCTACTATTGTAAAATAGACACTCCAGGGGGATAGAAAGGAATGTTGGAAAACATGATTACAGAAAACTTGTAAGCCCATCTTCAGCCTATAACTGATTGGAATACCGAAAAGGGGTTCTAGAACTTACCCAGTCAAATAGATTGCTTACAAAGCCTTTGCAGAGTATAGGACCTTAGGTGGAATCTTGAGTTCCATTCAGAACCTTATCAGGTAGGACATTCCCACTAGCAAGGACAAGTAGACCAGCCTGGAACAGCTAGAGTATCTTTGAAGATACATCTTCAAAGAAAGGTCATCAGGAAAAACCCAAAACATTAATGTCAGCATGACTGGCTACTACAAGAATAAGCAAATTGTTTGCTGGGAAGCCACCAAGGCAAGCAATCAAGTTCCTTCAGGACAAACTCCCCTCTAAGACTGAAATTCAAAGAGAATACACAAATAGGCATGTAAACTTGCTGGCAACCACACTGGTCTACTGGTGAGTGGAAAAGGGGAAAAGGCAGCAATGAAGAAATGGACGGAGTTCAACCATATTCCATAGACTCTCGATGACCTGGAGATGAGAGAGAGAAGAGTAAGGGCTGGTTGGTCCGAAGTGTGGTGAGACCTGGGGACATCTGATCCCATGGACAAGGACACAGCGACTGAGGGTTAGAGACCAGAGTGAAGCATCCTGCTGATATGAAGTGAGGGGAGATGCACAAGAACACTCAACCATGCAGACAGTACCCATTTGACCTAGCCTTGATGGCTTGATGAGCAGAACTCGACTAGAAGATTACCAACAAAAACACAACTTTTTTTTGGATAAAGGAAACAAGGGTAAATTGGTACAATTTGATGAACTTAACCTATATTCATGGAGGTAGTAACTCTAAATACCAACAAAGAGGGAAGGAGTCTCCATATCAAGTATAAATGCTATCCCCTCTGTAAACAGGGTAGATACAGATGGGCAACTTAGACAGTGGCTACCTAAAATGAGGGGGCAACAAAGGCACGAAGTGACTGGCTTACAAGATTTCAAGAGGGAGTTTAGTTTAAGAGTATGAGGTGTAGGAGAGAGTCCCCACTGAATAGTTTTCATTTTGTCTAGATGAGTCTGGTAAAAAGAGATGGGGATAAGATTCATATAATTGAACAGTGAATAACTGTTATCACGACTAACTGCAAAGGTCACAATTGTAAAGGTATAAGTTTTGTAACAAAAACAGGGGAGTGGTTAATCTTATTGTCCAGAAAGAGGACCCTAGGGCCATCAAGGGAGAAGAGCACAAGCAGAATGCGGGACCTTATCCAGAGAAGCAGCGACGCCAGTGATGGAGACAGAGATGGGGTCATGGAGAGGGGGAGCGGCTGAGGACTCTAGATTCAGGGGAAGAGAGGGACTAAGAGTTGGTGTCCAGGAGGCAGACCTGCAGAATGTGCCCTTTAGAAGTGTAAATTATTACATATGCCTGAATGCTTTGTTTTTTTTAAAAAAGCTAAAGTGAATAGAGAGAAATACTGTTAACTGATGGTACATGGAGGGGATTATAATCATTGTAATGAAGCAAGGTGTATGATTTGTTGAATGTAAAACTGATGATCTGCCCTGTATACTTTCACTCAATCTACAATAAAAACCTTTAAAAAAAAAAGAAGTAAAAAAACACTGAAGAATGACTAGGAAAACCAACAAAAAGTGAGTGTAGGAAAATAGAGTTATAGAAGAGAAAATAAAAGGAAGAAATAAAAATTAAAAATAACCTTAGAAAAATCAGAAAGAGGAAAGATGAAAAGAGTACTGAAAAGAAAAAAAAAAATCAAAAGGGAAAGAAAAAGAAGGGTGTAATGAGAAACAAGAAAAGAAGGCAAAAACCACAGTGGTGATGTTGTTGTCAAGTGCCATCGAGTTGATTCCGACCCATAGCGACCCTGTATAGGGTTTCCAACCAAGGAACAGCTGGTGAGCTTGAACTGCTGACCTTGCAGTTCAAACGGCTTTGCAGTCTGGCACATTGACCCACAACGCCACACCAGGCATACAAAGGATCAAATTCAAGGAAATGGAAAGAAGACAGAAGAAAAAGAAAATCAATGAAACAATGAAAGGATAAAACCAAATTCAAAAAACAAAAGAAAAAACAGTGCATCTGTTGGACCCAGAAAGGAGACAACACTGGGGGATTCCTGCAAGCTATGGACCTCACCAGGCAGGTGGGTATGAGAGAAATGTAACAGCAGAGTTCCTGGCCCCTAGATGGAGCTGCTAGAGACCTCAGTTTTAAGTGTTATCTATGTCCTTGGAAACCCTCTAGAGGGTCTCTATGGGTCAGTACCGACTCGACAGCATTTAACAACAACAACAACAACAATGTTCAGGGTACTCAATCAGAAGTAGTTAATGGAAGTCCTTGATGGAACTGGTTTCACTGTCTATTAGGACCACAGGGCAGCTGGTGGCAGGGAAATTGGTTAAATGTTAGTCTGGTGGTTCTGAGGATACTATGGGACTGGAGTAGAGCCAGTCTGAATCCAGGTACCAAAGTGGTACACCAACATCAAAGTGGTGCAGCCTGTCCCTATCTCACAATGGCATGGCTTCCAACCATGTAATTCCGAACTCCTGGAGAGCAGGGACTTGTCCTAGGGGTGGATGAAGATTGGAACTAGTCACACCTCTGGTCACCAGGGAAGCATGGGGAAGAAGAAGGAACAGCATCTTTCCTGTCATTTGTGGGAATCTGCTCTGCCAGGCCACCTACTGTTGCCAAAGCTGCTCACAACAGTTCAAGTTGGTTGCACTATGTCTGGCTGGCCATTCTCCTGTCAGTCTTCCTTTCTTGCCATCCCTGTTCAACTTCTCCTCCCAGCAAGCAAGGACTCAATCCACTTCTCTAACCTTTCCTCAGGATCCCTGTCTTTTTTTATTTGGTATCTTGTATCTTTGTTGTAGAGGGTCCATGTAGAGCCTCTGTCTATTCTGCTATCTTTCTGAAAGTACTCAATTTTAGTTTCTTTGAGATTCAATTCTTTCACAGGTATCGAAATAATTTGACCAAATTCAGCAAATTTGTTTTATTAAAAAAAAAAAATATATATATATATACAATAAGCACCACAAGGTCCATGGTTCAAGCCCACTAGCCACTCCTCAGGAGAAAGATGAGGCTTTCTGCTCCCTTGAAGATTTAAACAGCCACAGAAACTTTATATAGGGCCACTTTGAGTCAGAACTGACTCAACAGCACTTAACAACAACTACAACAACAACACTGTTGATGTAGAGAATATGCATAGCAAAACATAAGTCACAGAGACTACAGAGCTAAACGTTTAATAGCTTTTACACTTAAAAGATCAGGGACACTGATTACATTCATCAAGTTGTGTAATTATTCTTACCCTCCTTTTCCAAGCCATTTGTCTCCCTTCTTTTTCAATTTACATAAACTGCCCTTTAAGGTTTCTATATTTAATCTTTCAACTTGCTGCTGTCAATTTTATCCCATACAGAGAGTTCTCAAAAGAGGAAACTGCTCCAAGTCAACATGTTTATGGTAGTTAAGCTAATCTATTGTTTGGTATTAAAAAGACTTCAGGGTATATTTTTGGTTTAAAGTTTAAAGAATATCTCAGAGCAATAGTTTCAGAGGTTCATGCAACTTCCATGGTTCCATAAAGTCTGGAGTCTAAGAGAATTTTAAATTGTGTTCCAAATTTTCCTTCTTTTGATTGGGATTCTTTTGTGCTAATTTGTTTTATATTTTAACAATATTTTACATAACAAAAAATAGAGACTTATAGGAAAATATATGCTTGATAAAATATTAAAATTAGCTACAAAGCTAATTTTAAGTAATATATAAACATAGTAACTATGAAAATAAAGTAATTACTAAGTTTTAATCCAAATGAGCATTATTCTCTTCAACACAATCATCTTGTGGGGTTACTATTCTTAAAACAACTATAGCACTGATTTCAGAGACTTATATCTTTACATTGTATGAAATGATTTTTTTCTGCATTGAATGTGAATGATTTTTGGAAAAGTTAGTCATTCACAGTTACATATGAAAGAAGATCACACTAGCTTATTGCACTTAGGGGTCAAAACTGGTCTTGAAATTCAAAAGAGGAGACCTGAAAGTATCATGAACAACAGAGTACAGATATTGCTTCCTAAACTGAATACTATTAGAAAGAGTTTTGCATGGACATCTAAATTCTGATACATATTACGTTAGTTTTGTCAAGGCAGATATTAGAATAAATAAAGTAATTCTTAGTTCTGGATATCTCCTTTCTTACCCAATGTCATCAGAGAGGCAATCAACAGCCATCCAGCTTGTGTGCGTTGAGCTGAAAGGCGACTGTTTTGAGTAGCAGAACACAGCAAATCCTCTGCTAATGTCATAATAACCTATTTATGATTAGAAGAAGAAGGTTTTGTGTTTTTGTTTCTTTTTAACAAAAAGGAATATAGTTTATAGGTTACTCAGAAACGACAACTCTTGCACTATTATTAATTCTTGCATATAATAAATGTGGACTCCAGGTGTGACGCTGTAGGAGCAACACTAGACTGCGAACCATAAGGTCAGCAGTTCAAACCCACCAGCTGCTCCTTGTTGATGTTGTTGTTGTTGTTAAGTGCCGTTGAGTCAATTCCAACCCATAGCAACACTGTATAGGGTTTCCAAGGAGCACCTGGTGAGCTTGAACCGCCGATCTTGCAGTTCAAACGGCTTTGCAGTCTGGCACATTAGAAACCCTATATAGGGTCACCATGAGTCGGAACAGGCTTGATGACACTTAACAGTAACAATAATAATAAATATAAGTGATGGAGGACTGTCATTCATGCAGACTATACTATAGGACTATGTCATATAGTAAAGTAAAAAATACTGGTATACTCAGTAGTACTCAGCAACCCAGTAATTCTTTGTAGAGCCAATATAACAAAATCATAAGAATGTTGAAGTATACTTGTACCGAGTTTCAATTTACTTTAAGTTTTAAGCAATTATCCTCCTAGATAGAAAATAATCAAAAAAGTTTCATTCCATGAATTATATTTCCCTTTAAAAAACTCTACATACTTGGTTGAAAATAGGCTTTTCACTAAAGTAGTTATAAGTAGTAAAATTGTCTCACATTAAAATAAATGTTTCACAATAGAGTAGAATTCACTAAAATGTTACATTTTTAAAGCCTACAGAATAAGTAGTTACATAATAACAAGAATGGAAATCCAGATGTTTCCCTTATAACGATATATATATATTTAGGCAGTACAAAGACTAGGAGGCATCTAGAGTATAATTTTCACTTCTCTCTCTCCTTTTTCTTACATATAAAAATTCTCTTTTTGCCTATGATGATGACAACAGTTTATTCATCTCCCTTAAAGATAGGTACCAATGTGCTAATATTGACTAAAGTCTGAATTATTCTATACTACTAATTATCCCTAGTTGGTATTTTGAAAACATTTATCCAGAGAAATATGAGTAATGGAGAGCAAGTTTCAGTGCTCAGATGCTAAAGCAAATTGAAGAAATGAGGAAGTAAAAAAGCTGAACAGAAAATTTCAAAAGGTAGTTCAAGACGACAAAGTCAAATATTATAATGAAATGTATGAAGAACTGGAATTACCTGGAATTAGAAAATCAAAAGTGAAAAACACACTAAGCATTTCTAAAGCTGAGGAAACTAAAGAAAAAAAGTGAAACCTCGAGTTGTAATACTGAAGGATTCTATGGACAAAATACAATACAGGCAATAGGAATCACATCCGTCTGAATTAATGAGATCTGAGGATACTGAGTTTAGACAATTCTTTACTAAGCAAGCTGTGATGTGTGTTAATTCAGAATATAGTTAAAATAATAAATTCAAATTTAAATTACTAATATCACCTACCAAAGTTATCACTCACTTTATTTCAAAAGTGTTGCTAAAGCAAAAAAATACAAGTATTTGGAATTTTCAGAAGTTATACTGGTCTTTTATATTAGCTAAATTTGGGGTTATACTATAATACTCATTAATAATGACAAAGAAGTGACAATAGAAAAGAAACAATGGTGAGAAGAAACTTAAGGGCAGTGCATTCATGTTAATGGTGGAGGAATAATTCCAAATTGAATGGTGAAAATGTATGCAGAACTTGAAGACTGTAACCAGTGTCACTGAATTTAAAGCACAGAGAAATTGTTGAATTGGTGTATGATTTGCTGTAAACATTGTTAACAACAATAAAAAATAAATTATTAAAAAAAGAAACAATGATTTGTTTCTTCAAAAATACTTATTTATGCCCTTTAAGTCTTGGGTTGTGAGGGCTTTTATTATAAAAAAAAAAATACCTACTCTCTGGTAACCATTTTTGAATTATCCCAAAAGAAAACAATCCCACATTATCATTTTCCTTTCTATATTTCATTAAAAACACACACAGACAAAAACCATCTATAGTTTTTCTTAAAAATTCTTTGTGTATTAAAACTGAGCTATATATTCACTAAGCTCTGTATCATTTACCCATAAATCTGCATTTTTAGATAGCTATGCAATATATCATTATGAACTCTTAAGGGTTATCTATTTAATGAGTTCCAATTCACTGTACTCAATAAATTATCCTTTCTGATCTCAAACTATCCCATCTAACATCAGTGAGAGTCTCTTAAGTTGTATCCTGTTACCCCTTTAACAAGAACCCAGTAATGTGATGACTTCCATGCTCTCTAGGCATGACCCAGGTTTACATTGTGCATTTCCTGCCACAGACTGCAAAACAGCCATTCCTTCATGGAGTCCTGACTCTTTCCGGTGGAAATGGTATTTAGAGTTACAATCTAGGCACTAAAGGTATTTCTGCTATGGAGCTGTTGCTGTTTTTAGGTATCTTCAATGTACAGAGTACGTACATATTTTTGAAATAATAAAATTATGAATTCATACTGACATATCTAATTCAGATTTAAAATATGGAGTTTTGCTTAACTTTTTTGATTCCATTGATTAATGTTTTTCCTTAAATGGAAAATGAAGGTTCCTAGCAACACTGATGTAATTATCTACTTTATCTTACAATATATATATATATATGCTTGTAAATTAATTTCTAAATACCACCACCAATAACAATGATTATATAAGATTACTGAATGATGTTAAGATTTCTTTGGCAGCTCCACTTGTCCTTTGCAATGTAACTTTAAATGTACTCATATGGTGGTGTGCCACCAAACTGGGTCTGAATCATAGCAACCCTGTATAGTGTTTCCCAGGCTCCAAACCTATATGGGAGCAGAAAGCCTCATCTTTTTCCCATTGAGGGACTGGTGATTTGAACTGATGACCTTGTGGTTAACAGCCTAACTCATAATCTACTATGCTATCAGGGCTCCCTACTTACATGGGAGGGTTACATACACGGCAAAATAAAGCCTTAATAATCTATATCTGTTACTAAAGGGCACTATTTCTAGCTTAAAAAAAAAAAAAAAGCACTCCTATTCAAGTATGGATAAAATATGTTGTTTTTTACAACAATCATGTTAATAATTCATAATATTTAAGGAGCAGTACAACAGAGTATTCAAATATTTGCCCTGCAAAGTTTTGTCTGAGTGGCACACTACAGATTACAATGTGTTTAAGAAGAACTAGAAACATCACTACTTTCTATGCAGAAAGAAATCATTACCTTGCCCTTTCCGTGAGGAATTCCTAAAGGACAATGTTTCACTGCTCCCAACAAAGATGCCACAGCAAAACTAAAGCCAGTCACTGCTTCGGGTGAAGACTTGAACACAGTAAGTCGTTCAAGACAACGGTCTAAGAGTGGTGTCAGGTAGGAAGGTAATGCTACAGCAATACAGTGTAAACACCAAGCTGCTGCAAGTCGAACGGACATGCAAGGATGAAGAATAACTGAAGTGACACTGTCAAGAATGCCTGAAAGAAAGAATAAATTATGACCTGAGTACACAGATAAAACTTAGCCATGAAACAGCCACACATGGACATAAAATATTTCTTAATCCAAAGTTAAAAATGTTTATAAATAATTTTTATACCCCAAATTACTTCTAACTTATATAATGAAAACCAGCATAAATTCAAGTCAAGAGAGAAAAGAAAATTTTTATTTATGTTAATGTGACGATGTTCTGCTTACTGTATCTTGTGATCATTACTAATTTGGTATCAGGAACTGTAAATGATCAATAAATAACAAAAACACCTTGAAAAGAAATGTCACATTTTGCAACACCTATTGTTTTTTCCTTTCTACTAACATACCTGAACTTTGGACGTGGTGCTGTGGATCAGCACTGCACTGAGAACCACAAGGTTGGCAGTTCAAACCCACCAGCTGTTCCTTGGAAACTCTATACAGGGCTGCTATGAGTTAGAACTGACTCGATGGTACTTAACAACAACAACAATGTACCTCTCTATATATTTAGTACAAACTATTTACTGTATTGCTCTTAAGGATCACTACTGGTGTTGTGGGTTAGGCATTAGGCTAGGTAGGCAGTTAAACACACCAACCACTCTGGGAGAAACAGGAAACTGTATGCTTCTGTAAAGATTTACAATCTCAGAAACTCGATACAGTCAGAGTTGATTCGATGGCAGTGCTTTGTTTTGTTGCATTATTCTTAACTGAAAACAAAATGTGAATTAAGATTAAGACTTTTCTGGGTTCTCAATAAACTACTAATCCATTATGAAGATAGGAGAGTATTTCCACCAGTAAAAAAACAGCCTACATTTGCTATGTTTCAACATACACCTTCATCAAAACATATGAAAATAGGTTCATGCCAACAGCCACTAAAATAGTTTATAAATAGGAATAAATCCACCACTTCTCAGTTTGTCACACCATGGGGGCTTGAGTGGTGCTGTGATGCTGGAAACTATGCCACCTGTATTCAGGGTCACTATGGGCTGGAACCAACTCAATGGTACGTAACAATAACAACAAGCACCTAGAAGTCCTGGTGTGGTGCTGTAGGAAATGTAATGGACAGCATAATTAGCTTGAACTGCAAAGTTGGTGGTTCAAACTCACCAACTGCTCCTCAGAAACCCTATATAAGGCTGTTATGAGTCGGAACCAATTCGCCAACACCTAACAACAACAGAAGCACCTAAGATAGACAGGTTTCAGTGGAGCTTCCAGATTAAGACAGACTGAAAACCTTATGAAAAGCAACAGATATAGTGCCAGAAGATGAGCCTCTCAGGTTTTGGAAAGCACTAAAAATATACCTCGGAAAGAGCTGCCTTCTCAAAGCAAGGTTGACCTTAATGATGTGGATGGAATAAAGCTTTCAGGACCTTTATTTACTGATGAACTCAAAAAGAGGAGAAACAGCTGCATACATTCATTAATAAACAGACTGTAGAATGTATGAAATATGAATCTAAGAAAACTGAAAGGCATCAAAAAAGAAAAGGAATGCATAAAGTTTGATATCTGAGGTATTAATGAGTTGAAACAGACTCATATTGAATCAGACAATCATATGGCTTACTATGACGGAAATGACAAATTGAAGAATAATGTATTTATCATCAAAAAGAGTATTTCAGTATCTGTCTTGAAATTCAATGTGATAGGATATTATCCATATGTCTATAAGGAAGACCAAGTAATACCATTATTATTCAAACTTATTCACCAACCACTACAGCCAGTGACAATCAAATTGTCCAACATGCAATTAAATGCATGAAAAATTATTGGTGATGGGAATATAAAAGTTGAAAACTAAGAAGTAATTAGAAAATATGGCTATGGTAATGAAAATGATGCTGGGGATCACATGACAAAAATTTCCAAGACCAATAACTTATTCATTGCAAATACCTTTTCTCAAAAATATACGAAATGACTATAAATGTGAACTTCACCAAATGGAATGTAAAGGAATCAAACTGACTGTATGTCTGAGGTCAAATGATGGAGAAGTTCAACAGTTAAAATTAGACTAGGCACTGACTGTGGTACAGATCACCTATTGCTCATAAACAAGCTCATGTTGGAGCTGAAGAAAATTAAAATAACTCTACAAGAGCCAAAACATGACCTTGAAAATATGCCACCTGAATGTGGAGACCATCTGAAGAACAGATTTGATACATTAGACACTAATGACCAAAGACGAGTAATGAGATGACATCGAGAACATAATAAATGAATAAAGAAAAAGACATTAATAAGACAGGAAAGAAAGGACAAAAAGAGGTATCAGAAGAGACGCTGAAACTTGCTCTTCAGTGTAGAGAATGTACAACGACTTGAAGAAAAGAGCCCAAAAGAAAATTTCAAGAAGACAGTATTATAATGAAATGTGCAGAGACACAGAGTTAGAAAACCAAAAGGCAAGAACACATTCAGCATTTCTTAAATTGAAGGAACTAAAGAAAAATTCAAGCCTCGGCTTGTGATATTGAACAATTCTGTGGGCAATATGTTGAGTAACACAGTAAGCATCAAAAGAATATGGAAAGAACACACAGGGTCACTATACATAAAAGAACTGGTAGATGTGCAAGCATTTCAAAAGGTAGCACATGATCAAGAACCAATGGAACTGAAAGAAGAAGTCCAAGATGCACTGCAGGCACTGGCAAAAACCAAGGCTTCAGGAATTGATGTGCTATTGCAGCTGTTTTTGATTTATATTCACTCATCTTAGGCTCCTTAGGTGACTTAAAAAAAAAACAAACAAAAGGTTCAATCAAAACAGTGGCTTTGAATAATCAACTATTTGAGATCAAAACAGCAGAATTTACCCAAGGACAAAGGTCTGAAGGGTTAGGAAAGAAGGAAGAATGAAAACAGGAAACACAGGATAGAAGAGCGATAAGTGATGTTACACTGAGGGGATTGCAATCAATGAGATGAACCAAAACATGTGTGAATGTTAAAGGCAAAACTGATGATCTGCTTACTCTGTAAAACTTAACCCAATTCACAATAAAATGTTTTAAAAAAACAGGCAGTAGCTCTGAGGGGATCTGCCAAGTCAGTTATATTCAATGCAGAAAGATAAATTGAGAAGGTTATGTTGTTGTTGTTGTTAAGTGCCATTGAGTCGGTTCCGACCCACACAGCGGAACGAAACAATGCCCCATTCTGGGCCAACCTCACTACTGTTGCTACACTTGAGCCCATCGATATCGCCACTTGACCAATCCATCTTGTTGGCGGTCTTCCTCTTTTTCTCTGACCCTCCACCTTACCAAACATGATATCCTTTTCCACTGACTGGTCCCTCCTGACTATATGTCCAAAGTATGAGAGATGAAGTTTGGCAATCTTGGCCTCCAAGGAGCATTCTGGCTGCACTTCTTCCAAAACGGATCTATTGGTTCTTTTGGCAGCCCATGGCACTTTCAATATTCTCCTCCAACACCATAACTCAAAAGCATCAATTCTTCTACGGTCTTCCTTATTCACTGTGCAACTTTTGCATGCATATGAGGTTATTGAAAATACCATGGCTTGGGTCAGATGCACCTTAGTCCTCAAGCTGACATCTTTGCTCTTCAACACTTTAAAAAGGTCTTGTGCAGATTTGCCTAATACATCGTTTGATTTCTTGACTGCTGCTTCTATGAGTATTGATAGTTGATCCAAGAAAAATGAAGTCCTTGACAACTTCAATCTTTTCTCCATTGATAAGAATATTGTTTATTGATCCAGTGGTGAGGCTTTTCATTTTCTTTATATTGAGATGTAATCCATACTGAAGGCTGCGCTCTTTGATCTTCATCAGTAAATGTTTTAAGTCCTCTTCATTTTCGGCAAGCAAGGTTGTATCATCTGCATATCACAGGTTGTTAATGAGTCTTCCTCCAATCCTGATGCCATGTTTTTCTTCATATAATCTAGCTTCACGGATTATTTGTTCAGCATACAGGTTGAATAAGTATGGTGAAAATTTTAAACCATTCAGTGTTCCCATGTTCTGTTCGAACAATTGCTTCTTGGTCCAGGTACAGACTCCTCGTAAGCACAATGTTGTCCATAGCTTGTCATGATCCACACAATCAAAAGCCTTTGCTTAGTCAATAAAGCACAGGTAAACATCTTTCTGATATTCTCTGCTTTTAGCCAATATCCATTGGATATCAACAATGATATATCTTGTTCCACAGCTTCTTCTGAATCCGGCTTGAACCTCTGGAAGTTCTCTGTCAATGTATGATTGTAGCTGTTTCTGTATTACGTTTAGCAAAACTTTACTCACATGGGATATCAAAGAGATTGTCCAATGATTTCCACATTCCATTGGGTCACCTCTCTTTATAATGTGCACAAATATGGATCTCTTTCAATCATTCGGCCAGATAGTTGTTTTCCACCACTCGTCTGTCAGTTTGTTGTACTGTGGTGGCTTATGAGTTGCTGTGATTCTGAAAGCTATGTCACCTGTATTTTAAATACCAGCAGGGTCACCCATGGTGGACAGGTTACAGATGAGCTTCCAGACAAAGACAGACTAGGAAGAGTGACAAATTACTTCCAAATATTTAGTTACTGAAAACCTTATGAATAGCTGAGGTTATACTGACTGTTTTTTTGGATTTCAAAAATGGCTGCAGTTCATGGTTTGTTTCCTTGGTTCTTGCTTACATGAGTGTTAACTGTGGATACAATCTTTTTGAAATTGTGTTTTCTTTACAATGAGATGCAACCCAGACTAAAGGCTGTGGTCTTTGACCTACATCAGTACGTATTTTAAATCCTTTTCCTTTTCAGAAAGCAAAGTTGTATCACCTGAATATCCCAGGTTGCTAATGAATCTTTTTACAATCCTGATGCCATGCTCTTCATATAATCCTATTTCTCTGATTATTTGCTCAGCATACAGACTGAATAAGCATGGTAAAAGAATGTAAAAATGAAGCACACCTTTCCTGATTTAAAA